CCCCCCCCTTGACAGCCAACTCGCAAAAAAGGAAATGAGCCCGGGTGCCCGGCCGGGCAGGACCGCCCGGGCGTGTGAATCTTCCTAGTTTTTGAAGCGAAACCACCAGTACTTGGCCCATCTGTCGGCCGCGGGCGATTCCCGTTAACGCGCCGGTAGTTGCGCGCTTCAGGGCACCGAACCACACCGAACCACAATGGCTGGAAGCGCCACCCAAAACGAAAACAAAACGGTGCCCCGACACCTCGGCAAAACTCGGCGCGCAGGGGGTATCCCGGCTCGGCACCAGTAGCTGGGCCAGTACTTGGCCCAACTATCGGCCGCGGGCAATTCCTGTTAACGTGCCGGTAGCTGCGCGCTTCGGGGCACCGAACCACAATGGCTGGAAGCGCCAGCCAAAACGAAAACAAAACGGTGCCCCGGCGCCTCGGCAAAACTCGGCGCGCAGGGGGTATCCCCGCTCGGCATCAATAGCTGGGCCAAGTACCGGTGGTTTAATTATTTGTCATTGTTCTCTCTTCTGCCACAGAACAAAGTGCTCAGACCTCGCAACTAATTGCTGATCGATGGTCGTCAAGTCTGGGGATGCCAATTGAGTCCCCAGTCAGGGTCCTAGGTATCAATTTATCTGCTGCAGGCAAACCTACTTCCAATAATGAAGGGATTCTACAAGTTGCTCATGCTAAACTGGAAACCTGGAAAAACAAACATACGTTTATTTTTGGAAGGGTCCTAATCATTAATAATGTGGTGTTGGGGTCCATCTGGTACAAATCGGCCATATGGGCCCTTGACAAAGCCCCAATCAAGGCGCTCCAACAAAGCCTCAGAGCTTTCTTATGGAGAGGGAACCACGACCTCAAAAAAGTGATTAGTAGAGTAGCCTGGGCCGCAATTATTCAACCAAAATCAAGAGGGGGGTTAGGTCTCATTGACCCTACTCTCCAAGCTATGGCATTATCCATCCAATGGATCATTAGGCTGCTCTTTAGTCCACAGTCTCCATGGTCCATCTTAGCATGGGAATAGATTAGGAGATTGACACCTTTAACTAACGAACTAGTTGATCCTTTAATGTGGTTGGAAAACCGAGTCTGGGCTCTTCCAAGGTGTAAAAAGATTGATGGGGTTGAAACCCCCTCTGATGACAGGGACGAAGCCAGAAGAGATCTTAGTAGACATCCATTCTGGATCTCCCTTATCAAGACCTGGAGGAAACTGCCCTTGCCAGATAAAATCCATCCTACTAGACGGGAGGAAGTGTGTCAACAGACCCTGTTTAATAACACATGGATTCGAGACAATCAAGGAATCATGTTGCATTATAATGACCGCCCTTGGAAAGGATGGATTAGGAAGGGAGTAGTTAGAATCAAGGATATTTGGAACAAAGAATCCAAGGATTGGATTACTCAGGGGGAAATTCAGGAGAGATTAAGATATTGTCACCATTTGTAGAATGCCTTGGAAAGAATAGTTGAGTTGATACCCTTGGACTGGGTCCGCATCCTCAGGAAAGGCCCCGACATCAAACCCAATGATTGGGTAACTTTCACTGACTGCAATCACCTAATAGGTAATGTCTTGGAAGTTGAGGCAAATGGAGATATTTTAACTTCCCTCTTCATCCTTAAAGATGATAATAGAATAATCCCCCACCCAGAGGACGAAATCAGAAGGGTAGTTGAAGATCAAATTTTCAGAATCAGAGTTTTGCAAACTGGGAATGAATGACTGGCATTCAGGCCCGACACTCCCATATCGCACCTAGCAATGGATCCAGTTGTATGGAAGTGGGGGTCGCAACTAAAAAAAAACAGAAATTATACCAGATCCCTCCACTCTCTATCAGTCAAATCAGAATACAGAATGCTACGTCCTACAATCAACCTGAGCATGGACGACCTGAAAAACATCAAATGGTTTCGCAGCAAGAACTTTAAACCGGCCAAAATAGCTTCCCTACAATGGCAGATCGAACACAGATGCCCCCCTACTAATGACTGGTTAACAGACAGAACGTCACACGACAAGAACGATCATATGCCCAACCCTGGTGCAACCTGTGCAAAACTGCGTATCCAAGTAGAACGATTCCGGAGACAATTGAACACATTTTCCTTCAATGTCCCGGTTCAATTTGGCTTTGGAGATGGTGGGACAGGATCTGGAGTACTCTGGAAACAAAGGCTCAGTGGCCATGGGGATGGAAACCCCTGTTACTGGAAGCGTGGAATGCTGTCCCTTTTAACCAATTTACCCAAAATTTATTTATTCTCAGTAGAAGGGCAGTATTATGGACCATTTGGAGGAGGAGATGCATCTATTAATGGGAAGGTGCCAGGATGGATGGCCCGGAATTCACAGAAACAATAAAAGAACAAATTCAGACAGGCATCCTGAATCAATGGGAACTCACTAAGGAGAAAATTCATTTTTTATCAAACAAAAAGGAAATCTCCCAGCAAATACAACAGTTCAGTCTGGTCTGGCTTGGTGGGAACCAGGGGGGAGGGATTGGAAAAGTGGTATGGGAAGGTGCTATTGAGGCAGAGGATGGAGTCATCAAAAGAAATGATAGGACTGTGTTTAATGAGTGGTGTTCAATTGACTCCTCAATCCCCCCGAGACCCCTCTCAGATTTTCCTGACCCGTTCCCACCCCCCCCAAGTGTGGTTGTTCCCAATTCTTGGTTTGGAATTGGTGATGATTTATAATAGGTCAATATTAGATTAATATTAGATTAATATTAGATTAATATTAGATTAATTGCTAGAATGTTCTTTGGTGCAGTCTCACAGGTCGGATCAGTGAGAGGGACACACATGGACACACATGATAGACAAGACAAAATCAGATTGAAGCAGAGTCACCATTATCTCATCAGTACCAGAGCTTAAATGGTCAATCTGGCGCCACTCTATTGAGGGTGACGAGGTACAGGGGACGCTGGGCCCGGTTCCCAGCAAGAGCTCATCTTTTATTCTCTGTATTGCAACACAAGGGACGCTGGACCCGTTTTCCAGCAGGTGCAGCTCCCCACCAATAGACTGGAGCCCCCAGTGTGTCAGGTAGGAGTGTATGCTCTTATCAGCACTCCAATCTGACACCATGGGTTTCTGTTTAAAAAAAAAAAAAAAAAAAAAAAAAAAACTACTGAGCACAAAAACAAAAACAAAGAACTACTGCACTGTAACCACAGTAGTTTTGGGGTGACAGCACTCAAGAGTGGCAAGTGAAAAAAAAGAAAAAAGGTTCTGGGCTGACCGAAAAAATCGCTGAGGCAGTTTACAGACCTTGTGGGGCTGCGGTAGGGATAGGTTTGGCCGAGAGTGCCTTGCTTAGCCCTTTTGGGCACAGCAAATGATGTAAGGGACGCGGGGCCCATTTCCCGGTTATATGAAAAAAAGTTGTTCAATTCAAAAGGGACTATATATATATATATATATATATATATATATATATATATATATATATCGTCAAATAGAACTGCCCGGTAAACCGTAGGCAGAGAGGGAGAAGAGGACAACAAACGAGGGGCTGTGACAAACTGTTTCGTCGGAGTTTCACCGACTCATCAGGAGGCTGAACCCTATATATCGTCACAAATAGTATTATAGACGATATATACAATATATATATGTACAGGGTTACCGGCGTTCGGGACGGGACGAACGCCCGAACCCGAACGCCCGAACGTACGGGACCCCTTCGCGAGGCGTTCGGCCGTTCAGGCCGAACGCGGACCAAAAAAAAAAAAAAGAAAAAAAAAACAAGTTTTCAAAAACTTCCGAAAAAAAAACTATGTTATGGAGAGAAATAAACTAAACAACATTTGCCTGAGCACTACATCCAAATTCTTTACCAAATTTGAATTAAAAATCCAATACAGAAAATAAACACTATGATAAAAATAAGAAAAAATAAAAAGAGAATTAAAATGAGTGAGTGTGCCAGCACCTTTTCGACACCGCCATCTTTGCCGATTTTTTATTATTTTTTGGCATTGACAAATGCGCTGAAAATTTTCAGATATGTAGTTTACATAATCAATAACTCATTAAAAAGTTTTCAAAAAATAATAAAATTGTTTAGGCCCCGAAATAAAGTGAAGACAAAAAGTTAAAAGTGAAAAAAAAACAAAATAGTGAGTGGGCGAGCACGTTTTGACACCCCCATCTTTGACGATTTTTAATGTTTTTTTGGCTTAGCAGAATGGCTTCAAATATTTTTTGGCGCGGGCCGAACCTGGAGGTGTTCGGCCCCCGAACGGGACCCCGAACGCCCGAACGTTCGGGGGCCAACCCGGGGGCCCCCGAACGTTCGGTCAGGTAACCCTGTATATGTATATATTATGGGTTAATTGCAGAAATAGTGCGCCTGTTGAAGTTTCGCAGCAAAAATATTGGCGGGGCCCAAGTTTCGTTGCAAAAATGTATCTTTTGTTGCAGCTTTAGAGGTCCCGGTAGTTTCACAGCAAAAATATTTGCTGGCGGGGCCCCACTTTCCTTGCAAAAATAGATGTTTCGGACCCGTATAACATTTCTGCTGCCAAACTTCAAGAACGCGCTATTTTTGGAATTGCCCCATATATTATATATATTTGACTAGTTCAATCCAGAAATAAAAAGCAATCTATAAAAAAAAGATTCATAAATTTTAAATAAAACATTAAACCACCAGAAAGGAGAAAGAAAGACGGGTAATGCAATCAGATGCAAAGGCCATAAAGGCGGCGACAGATTGGGGAAAACGGAGCAGCAAACATGTGAACGAGAAGTGAAGAAATCGACACCCGTACGTCCAAGGCACTTTTCTCCGGGGCTGGATACACGCTACATGCCACAAACAACACAGGCCTCCTTTTGGCAGGCACCACCATGCATTTTGGCCCGGCGGCCAAAGCCCGAAAGTTGCAGCAGCGTGCAAGCCGCTACTTTGAAAAAATGACTGAGAAACACACTGGCGGTTTTAAATTCAAACTTTCAAATTTGATTAAGACTTAAAAGTTTGTTTAAAAGGTCAAACTTACAAGTAAAAAGTGACCTTGGAAAAGTGAGAAAAAAACAAAAAAAACTTACAAGTACAAAGGTACTAAAAAGTCAAACCATTTCGGGGAGAAAAAAAAGAATACCTTCTCATAGACCCCAACTGTCCCATTCTGCAGAGCATAGGCAAACCAATTGCCAGAAGTGTGGCAGAGTCCAGTGACGCAATCAGCTTCCGTAATCTCACTCAATACCTTTCCTTCCAAAGAACAAAGAAAGATGAGAGTGTTAATCCCCTGCCCAGCAGGGCAATCAATGCAGGCAGATAACTCACAGAAGCTTCTGGGCTTACACATAAGCCTGCTCAGTCAATCCCCTGCTTTCGCAGGGTAATCAATGCTGGCAGGAACGATGACCACTCTCATACAGCTAGGAGATTCCACATCATTCCACATTATTTTCGTCATATGTAATGGGACGCTGGACCCGATTTCCAGCAGGTGTTGCTCCCCACCAATAGATGGAGCCTCTCCTCCGGTGGTAGTGCTGACTGCTCTTATCAGCAGCACTATCTCCGAAAGGGATGGTTTTGGGGAAAAAAAAAAAAAAAAAGAAAAAAAAAAAGAAAGAAAGAAAGATGAGAGTTAGGGCATTAAAAAAAAAAAAAGATGAGAGCTAGGGCATTAAACCACCAGTACGTTTCCCAGCTAGAAAATCAAAGTCGCGGCATGCATGCTGACGTGAATCTCAGGAAGTGCCAGGGCACCGTTTCCCTGGACTCTGCCCTGGTACTTCCACTGGCAGGGAGGAAGGACTTAGAGCAATGAAGCTACTGAAGGACTCCCGGTGATCGTGACTTTTAAGGCCAGGGTGTTGTAGAGGCCAAGTACCAGGCACGCTTTGATTGCTGGAAGCCGTCAGCCATGGCGGCCCTGAAGAAACGGGGCTGCCGTTTCCATTCCATCCTCACTCCAATACTCCAAGTGCATCCCCTATCCCCACTATCTGGTGATCGTGACTTGAATTGTCACACACCATGAAAGCTATGTGTTCACTGTGATACGTAAAGCCTCACACATTGAGTTCACATTTGCCTGTGTAGCCCTAGTAGGGAATTAGGGGTAAAAAAAAGTGGGACTAGGGGTGAAGACCAGTTTCTGATTGGAAATCGAGGTCCATATATTTAAGGCCTTGTTCGACACCACTAAAGAATACTTATTTTGTAAGGGCGCCCTTATCTAGGGATGGTGATTAATTTCCCCTAACTCCATTTTTTGTTCCACAGCCCCTTACAGAAACCCTACACGTAGGCGCCCTTACAATTCAGGTGCCGACTTCTTCCCTGTCCAAGACCGTGGCCGGCCCTACAAATAACCACGATTGGACCAGGAACGGCAGCGAAAGACCTGAAAAAGAAAAGAAAAAAAAATCCCTTTTTCCTGCGGCTGTAAGGGTGCTGCCCCTCATTTTCGAGTGACCTCCACGGTCGTCCTTACGGGGACTGTTTTGGCTGGGGAGCATGTAGGGCCCACCCTTATGGTGGGAATATGAAAACACATCGAACTTCATTTGCATCGTGATTAGGGAGGGGTGGAACGGCAATACCCTTACTTTCCCCAATTCTAGAGTGGTGTCGAACGAGGCCCTTATTATATTGGTTGCGGGCCCTGCGAGGTGGGGACATAACCCGTCAGGGATTATGTTGAGCAGGGGGGGGTGCCAAGGGGTTCCGTACTGCAAGGGTTCGTTTCTTTTAATCCAACAGTACCTTTCCCCGCTTGAAAAACAAACATGTGGCTTGTTCACGGCCACATTTTCTGGGGGCCGGCCCAGCCGGGTACTGGCCCGAAATGGCTGGCAGTGCCAGCCAAAAGCAGGCCCTTACCTGCTCATTTTTTCTTTTTTTTGCGCGCAGGGCGAATTTAGGCTTGACATCAATAGCTGGGAGGGGGTTAGCCCCTATAATTGTTATTGTATTCAGCAGGATTTTAAACCACCAGTACCTGGCCCAGCTATCGAGTCCGAGCCTCGGCCGACCGGTACGCCGATCCGTGCCGAGGCTCGGACTACCGGGCGCAGGCATCCCGAACGTCGG